CTTGAATATCTGGTTTGAGATTTTAGACTTTTAGCTAATCAGGGACACGGCTAGTGGACTTGTACATCGGTATCAGAAGCGGGGTACAAGAACATGAGGGTTTACGATTGATAGCTACGGTATGGCTTACTGGCTTGTAAGGTAGATAGATTTTATTACATTTTTGCAGCGTAATCTCCTAAGACTCTAGATCACAAGGCTTCACTGTAGCTTAAGGTCTTCTTCATTGAGTACTCCATATAGCTGCTCAATCTCTTGCCCTACAAACGTAATATCCTGCGCTAGCTGACCGGTGACGAGCGCTGAAAATAGTTTGATTAGTACTAAAGTATGGTGGGGAAGGACGCGGAGTACCTACCATATGCATACAAAAGCTCGTAGTCCTCATTGGTAGCAATGTCTCCTCCCGGATCAGTCTTTCGAAAATCGAAAATTTTAGCCAACAGCCGATCACGAGCGTTCTCAATATTGGGTAAGACATCATTCAATGGATATGCCATTTTCATGGAAGATGCAAGAACTGCTCACGGTTAACATGGTTCTTTTTATGTGTGAAACGTGGAAAAAAATCATTAAAAGCCACCCACCTGAAAGCAAATGACTAATCCGCCAACTTAGCTGCATCCACTCATGCCTTGTGTACTTCAAAATCTCCTTCTCACCTTCACTCGCTTTCAGATCTTTTAATATGACCACATTCATAGCGTGAAAGCTGTCGAGCATCCGTCCAGTCGCTTCCAAAATCCGCTTGAAAGATTTGTCTGGAAATGGACCCCGCAACTCGAATTCGGACGTTGCAGCACTTCTGAGAGTCTCCAGATGCATTAGGAAGCGTTGCAACTCGAGTTCCACACGCTGATCCATGTACGAAACGGGCGGATCTGTGTCTTCGAGTAGTGTAGCTAGCGGCCCCCGTTTCCATATCAAGCCCATCCGTAACCATAAGATGCAGATACCGTCTCTCATCTTGCGCCTTGCCGATATCGGCCAAATGATGCGGGTGACAACAATGCCCCAGATACACCCTGCCATGACAGCTACGACGCGGTGGAGCACGATCTCCCAGATTTCAGGTGAGATGCCTCCCTCGTCATCATCATCGTCACTATCTTTGACAGAGAGCGAGTAAGCATAAAGTGCCGAGAGGTTGTATGTTAGGAGAATAAACCGGCCCATTGGTCCTTTGCCTTTGCCAACAATGATGTAGAAACAGCCGAGGGAGACTACCCAGCCAAAGAAGCAGAGGACAAAAGGGTTGTCGTTAGATATGATCCAGGCAATGACGGCGCACAGAGCCCCAATGCAAGTGCCTAAAAACCGCTGGTAGCCGGTGGTGTTGGATGCACCGATAGTCATCGAACAGACCAACATGTAAGATAATAAGCCCCATTCACCTCGCCAGTGGCTGTAGAGCGGCCTAGTAGCTGGAATGAATGACCAAACTGCATATGCTACAGCGCCTGCGCCAACCTTAAAGGCATATTTGGTATCATCTCTGCGGAAAAATCTTAAGGCGCGCCATAACCTGTATGTGTAAGGTTGACTATTTAGTGGCTTCCCAGGATCACCAATTGAGTTGACTCGGCGCATTAGTCTAGGAATCTCATGAGATAGGCCTCGCTCGGCGCTCTCTTCGATCAAGCTGGATTGTTCTGAATGGGGTAAGCTAAAGAAAATTCAGGAGGATTGATTACCCGCCTACCAGAACCGTCTCTCTTGTTCCATTTCCCCCATCTACGCCAGAACAATAGCCACTTCCAAGTCCGTTTCCTTGGACTCCTATTAACGTCTCCCTTGAGTTCTTCTAGTATGTCTAGATAAGTAATCATGTCTTCCGCAAAGTCCTGGAGAGAAGAACTAAAATAACCACAGCTAGCAGCCACTTCCTCGAAGTCCGCGGCTACTTCTAGAGAACCTGTTTTGGCTGGAAGCTTGTTTTTGTACACGAACCCGAGAGCTTCCTTCCTCGCAGTGGCAAACATGTCATTCGCTTCGAGAAGGCTACTCCTAAAATGGCTATTGACTATGATAAGATAATCAGGCCCAGGTCCAAATGGTAGCTCGTCCAGTACTTCTCTAAGGGTATACGCGAGAGATTTCTATATGAATTAGCTTGAACTTAGTATATACATGCTCAACTCGCTTACCATAGGAGGTCCTAGGTGTGCAATAAAAATTGAGAACATATCAGCAGCCGTCAGAGAAGATTGTATTCCGCTTGGTATGTTCCAGGACGCCCCAGCTTTCGTGCCCCGTTCGTCTCCAGATCCACTTGAATCTTTAGGCAGCTCATCAATGGAGGCCAGGATACTGGTTCTCCGTTCTGTATGGCTAAGGCTGGGTGATACCATAGGAGATGCGAAGAAATCCGAGAAGCTGGAAGAGTTTGTCAACGGCGCATTCTCCTCACCTCCAGACTTGGACATGAGAGTGAACTGTGTTTCAGCTGAGCTGCGTAATCCGCCTATGTTTTGTGTCAACCGTTCCATACATTTAACAAGCCTTGACTCGATCCTGTATTCTTCTTCGGTACCCAAAAAGTAATGTTCGTATTTTGCCTCTCCCAAATTCTTAATCAGTGATCTAAAGACGGATTTATACTGGAGCGATGCGGCAACAAACGCTGGATGCTTTAGTTCTTTCTCGGAGCCAGATAAGAAGCTTCTTGTAATAATTGTGAGCATCTCCCCTAAAGAATCCGTAGCTTTCCGCAGATCATCTCGGAGTTCCTTTCTTGCGGATATCGGTTTAACCAATAAACTCACTGCGGTTGATGCTACGATGCCCATAATAACCATCCTCAACACCTGAGAAACCTTGTCGTATGAGAATGTGGCGGCCTGTACGGCTCCTTCTCTGGTCAGGACTGTGATTAGGGCCAGAGAAGCTAACGAGCAGGCCACATTGACGAGAGGGTTTCCGAGCCTTTGTTTCAACCATCCCACAAGCGCCAACCCACCACCACAGAATATTACGAGGACCAACGCATGGCCTAGCACAAGTAGATCGTGATTACCAAAAAAGACTGAGACTGCCATGCTGGTAAACGAAAAGAAAGCAGCATAGATGAAGGCCATGAGTGCCAACACAGTTGCTTCTGCCATGCTTCCAGCAGATCGCGCCGGGTGAAAGTACACCGTTATTGTAGCCACCGTGTGTTTTCCGTCATTCTTCCCCAGCAGCGCAGCGATCGGGTCCACGAAGGTTGCCAGGCTGCCTAGAACGTATGCTAGTGAGCATTTCAGTATGCCCTGTCCTGTCTTGGAGGTCATGAACGAGTATAACTGTACACCGGCATTTTCGATCCGCTGGAAGAGGTTTTCGATGCGTTCGTCGTAGGGAGGAGAGGATCGCCAGTGAAGAAGAGGCGACTGCTCGTTTGGAGCTCCATCCGAGTCTCTTGTAGGCCTTCTCAATGTGAAGCTCTTTTTGACGCGCTCTCCAGTTCTTGGTAATATGAGAGTCGCTTCTCTTAGCTACAGATGTGAGCAGTAGAATGGGAGGATTGAAGCTAGTTTGGGCTTACCCTGGGTCGTAAGAATCGGCGAGCCGTCGGGCTCTGAGAAGATTCACTCATCTTCTAGCTCTTGCAGCAAGGAGAAGGGAGTGTCTACCCTTGTTCAGCATCGTGTCTACTTGAAATAAGCTTCAAGAGGTGCGGCGTTCCAACCACACGATTGGATGCTAAAGATGATCAGCCCTACATGATCTACCGCATTGACCACCGTTCTGTGTTTCCAATCTGCGGCCGCCATCTCCGCCATCTTGCATTGTGCGTTGGACTTCAGTGTTGCTATTATGGTATTTTCGAATGGTTGGGTCTTCTCTCAGAATTCACGATGAGAATTGCCAATAAAAACCGGGTAGCGGTAGAGGGACACCCCCAATTGATATGCGGACACTCACCCTTGATTGAGTTTAGTTTCTCCCTAACCAAGTTAAAATATCACGTGAATTTGAGTTGTTTGCATTTGTATTGCAAAGCGACGTCGCGCGCCTATACCCAAAAAATTACCTCGCATTTGATCCTCTACTTCTTCGGGATCCTGCAGTTGTTGAACGCCGTCGCGGCCGCCCGGTAGGCTCTACAAATAGCAATTCGCGTTGACAGCTCTATTCGCCGAGAGCCATTAGTATTTGAGCAAAATACTGCGCGCGGTCGTGGGCGTGGGCATGGGAGCGGCTGTGCCCGCGGAGGCAGTTCTTAGGTGTCAAGCAGAGGTGGCAGCACCTAAATTAGTTTGCGCGGCGCCTCATAAGTTATCTCTTAATCCAATTAATCGACTTGGGAGTAGGTAGGTGGTGCTATCCCTTGACACGTTGGCGTCCTCGTCTGGGCGCCAAGCCTAGGAACAACGTGCCTGTAAATAGCTAGTTATTTTCAACAATTCGATACCGCACAATGCCACATACACTTTCAAATGATATTGAATCGCTTTAGCTGGGTGTAGTCTCTGGCAAGGGCAGCCAATTCGGAGCCTCTGATTGGCTAAGCCCTTATCGATAGCTGAGGACGTAAATTAACGTGTCAAGGGATAGGTAGGGGAATGGTGGTGGGAGTTAAGATACTACTGCGGGTGCCCTGCTAGATGTCGGCGGTATATTTAATAGGCTTTTAAAGGCCTGGGAGCTTTGTCCTTTCACGAGGACTTCGCTGAGGATTCCTTTGGCGTATTCCAACTTTGATTTGAACTTTACTAGTTGTACTGTACAACTCAAATCCACGTGATATTCGAACTTGATCAGGAAGGAACTAAACTCAATCAGGAGGGAGTGTGTTGATTATTTACATACAAATTTGGGTAAGCGCACGGGCGTTCGGCATTTTCAATTTCCGGCCACGACTTAACGCACCAGCCCTTGGCCTATTAAAGATAAAGTAGCGCACAGACGTTTAGTAGAACTTTAACGGGCCTAAATTTTTATCCTGTCTAATCTTTAGTTGCGAGCTAATTTTTAAACATTTTATAAGTTTTATTTTTTTCCAACTATTCAAAATAGCCTCTTTGGTGTAGTTGGTTATCACGTGGGTGAGTGGCCAGCAATCCTTAGTGGCCCCGATATTAATAATGTTAGGTCTCATATGTAATATGATTTGGTCATCCAAAGTAATCCCAAGCTCGCCAGTGCAAATCTGGCAAGGGGCAGAAACTTCTTTTTGCGATCTCATTCTTTTTTCCATATCTGATATCAGGTTCGCTGCTGCAGGCCGTGCGTATAACAACCAGGACGGCCATAATTTAACCTCACAGATAGAGAGAATAGCAGACAAATGGACGAAATATCTCGAGAAAAGGAGGAATACTTTGTAGACGGTGTTCTGTGGAGCGACAATACTTCGTCTGACACGAAAACCGTTTTCAACAGAATCACCTGTGGATCCGAACTAGACCTTGCACAAGCTTGCAGCCCAATTTCAATCGAATGCAGGGAACGTTTCCGACAACGATTACGACGCATAATCTATCGCCTAAGCGATCTTGTCAAGGCGAATCCATTTTCGAAGGAAGCCGAGTCCATGAATGCACCGCTTTCAACGAATTTTTGGATTGTACTCAGCATGCTCGAAGTTAATAAAGTTTTTAATATTCTTTTATCATACTTCCCTAAGCAAGTCCAAGCAGCTTTAGGAAAGCCAGAGATTATAATCGATAGCCTACTAGCACTTCCCCGCCAATCAGATAACAACCTAGGCGGCTAGATTATATACATCGACATTATTACAGAGAGTATTATACTTAATAATAGTAAAGAGATAAGAGTAGGCCCTCAAACTTATGGACTGGGTCTATACGTCGGTTCTGCCACAGGCTAGGGAGGTAGAATTTAAAGGTGGTTAGAATATAATTGATATGTCCTCAACAACCTTTCTAAAGACAATTATTCGAGAAAGGGCTATTATTACTGGTTTTGTACAAGACCTGCTCGCATAATAAACCTTTAAGCTGTTGCTATTGGATTCTGCCCTCTTAACTCTACATTCTAGCCAATCCTTACTAAAGGTATTATTATAGTCCTACTTAGTACTCTTAGTAATAAGGGTTAAAGAAAGCAGTTTACCCCGAAGGCAATATTTAATTAGTACGAAGAATATCGCAAAGCTATACCCAATGTGGGAAGATTCCCAGATATTAAACCTTTAAATCACTTATGGCCATTACAACAAGGATTTTATAGACGCATTCCAAGGCCAACAAGCTATCCTTATTATGGCTTAATCCCGTTAAGAAAGGTAATCTAGCTAAGAATAGAGGCAAAATATGTCTGCCTAAGTTGTTGGGAGCAAAGTTCTAAAGGACAAAAGAAACGGTAAATAGCCAGAAATTCGGGACAAGTAAAATATGGAAGGCCAGCTTGCGACTGGAAATTTGGGCCGTATATTAATCTGGTTAAGAAAGAGCGTCTAGGGATAGCTCTAAAAAGCGGTATTAGTAATAGATGGCTCTACCAGCCGTGCTTTGGGATGGCAATAAGGACTGCAGAAGCCCATAGAGTAGTATATGTTTAAGCAAATCGAGGGCCAACAGTAAAGGAGGCGGGTATCTTTTATTGTCAGAATCCAAAGTGTAAAAGACCGTTGGGGCGGAATAAAAAGAAGAACGAAAGACCGGCAGAAAGACCCCGGCCTGGAATTAGTGATTGCTGGCTCTGTATCAACTGTTTCCGCAAGAGACGCCGTGGTACTCTTAGTGTGCCAGCTCTCTCTACATAGAGTTTCTATAGTTGGTTTCAACTATGATGTACTCTTATAATCGTCATTGTTGGTTATTTACCCAGTAATTCCGTGTGCCAGCAACACAGGTGCTGGTTGTAAAGGGGGCCCGACTTGTTTTGGAATCGGCGTTCTAGATCGTGTATAGAGAGGACAGGCGATGATGTATGTGGTAAGCGGCGCCGTGGTAGAGTAGTCGCTGGTGCTGGCGGGGAGGCTCTAGAAGCAGGTAGTGTAGTTGTTGGTACTGGCGGTGTGGAGGCTAGAGATCGACGAGGCCTCGGTGGTGGTGATGGTGATGTTAGGCAAGGGCGAGACGCAACGGTGGGGTATGAGGGACGGACAGGAGAAACCAGGCGAGGAGAGGAGGGCGGTGGCTGGGTAGGTGTACCGGTTGAGGTAGGAGGGGGAGGAGTGGCAGCAGCGTATTCTGATGATGGGCGTTCTTGGAGCGGGCTCATGGAGGGTGGTGGTGACAATACCTCTGGGGTTCGAGAACGAGGGTGGCTAGTCGATGTGTAGATGTCAGAAACATTGTTGATCATATCGAATATCGTATCTGCTAAGAGGCAATCCTCCTCGTGAGCGCTGAGGAGCTCATCGTTGCTCCATTCTCCTAAAGTGGCCATCCGTTGTATGCTCATTGCTTTATGACAGACATGACAAAAGCAAGTGTCTTCCCCAGATTTCGTGGAGTAGGAAAAGTCGCATATCGCTAGCTGCTGTGGAGGTAGATCTGTACATGCCCATGTTGACGGATAGTTTTCTAGACGTCTTGCGAGGTTTCGATACGATGCAGAGGTGTTAGACGGTGGTCGTGACGCGCATCGCGATCGTTGGGACGCGTCAGAACGCGACGGTGAGTTGCTTCGGCTTGCTGCTGGTGATGACCTAGGCGATGATAGCGATGATGGCGATGCGAAACGGTTTAATGCTGCCGTTGCTGCCATCCCTCACCGTTTGCAAGTACGTATGTATGTATGTATGTATGTATATTCTATTATCCCTTCGTGTGGCAAAATGCGATTTTTGATTGGGGCGTATTTAGCCGTCCTGCTTCAGCTAGCACACCTCGGTTAGGCTAGTTAGTGGCGTTTTGGTGGACCCCACCACTAAAAACACAAAAATCGACCTAATGGAAGGATGCTTTAAGAGGCCATTATAAAAAGGTCATCAAATATATATTTTTAAGGAAGCTGGGCGGAAAGTCGTAATATATAACGTTATGGTTATACGTTCCCGGCCCTTCTCTATTAACTACCTACTAATTATATAGGAAAATCCTCCAGAGCCCCCCCCTAAATCCTTACCACCTATACACTTTATACGCGTTCTTAACGTTAATAAGAATAAGCTAATAGAGGACTAGCTTAAGGCTATAAGGGAGGACGTGTTATATACATCAAATAAGGTAAATTAAGTGCTATAGGTAATTAAGCGGTTTAATTAGCGATTATTCGGTATGGAGGCCTAATTAAAGGCAGTAGAGGAAGGCTTAAAAGAGGCTAAGATACATACTGCGGTAAAGGCTTAATTAGCTTTAGAGTCTTAATATTAAAGGCGTAAGGAAGTAAAGGATTAAAAGTAGTTACCTAATTGTCGTCTACTAAATAAAAGTTGGTAAAGCACCGCAAGCATAGAGGAAGCCTATAACCCTTACATTCGTATACTGTCCGTCTTACCTTTAATATAAGCTTCTTTGCCTACTTCCATCTACACATCTAGCACGTTAGCAAGCCCTTATAGCCCTTTATCTTTATATAGCCTTTAATATATTAGTAAGTTCGCGTTTTACACCGTCAAATTATAGGTAGTAGGGTTTTAGCAGTGACGTAGGTGGTGCTTTAATTTATTCCGATATTTCTATAACTAGGCCCAACGCCAGGCTAATATTGCCTATACTTTAGTGAGCTTAAATAAAGAAGACGCTTAGTATCTTGCTTATTTAGGCCTATTTGCTAACTGCCCATAATAATAAGGTTCTAGGCCAGTCGTATATAGAAGCGGCAATGGATTTAAAGGAAGGGTTTACTTAACGTCCGGAAGATTTTCTTACTAATAATATAGGCGTTAATTATGGCTGTATTAAGCGCCTAGAAGAATAAGGGTATCTAGGTACGTATAGTAGTAATCTAGGTGGTGTAGTAGCTCCAAAGCTAATCGTAAATATTAACGCCGCCTATCTAGTTATTATAGTTGATAGAAAGCCTAGGAAGTGTTAACTTCTTAATTAGATTATCGCCCTAAATATTAGCTACTAGCTTCTTAAGGAAGGAATTATATACTCGCGGCCGACGCTAATTAACTTTATTAATATCCTCATTACTGCATAAGTGAGCCGTCGTTAAAAATCGTACTAAGTTCTTGTCCTGCTATATAATTAAAAGCACTAAATTAACTACGCTAATGACTATTCCCGTAATAAAATTGAACGGTAGCCTTGCCTTCCTTTTATTAGCCCTTTTATATACCTCTAAATAGGCCTTTAAGTTTAACCGAGCAGTGCTAGCTGTAGTAATTCTAAGTTGTTAAAGCACCTAGAGTAACGGAATATTTGTAAAGTAGTTATCTAAAAATAGGCAAAATTAATAAGCCTAAAGAGGAAGCTATTAGGTAAGGTAGAGGACGCACTTAGAGGTTTTTAAGAGGGTAATATCTTAATAATCTATTTAAGAAGGAAGTCTAAAAAAGTAGCCAGGTAAGGTAAACATAAAGCTATAGCAATATCTATACTAATAAAGGCTTATTATTTTAAAGCCCTTAGGTATTGGCTTACTAGGCAATTTAATTATAGCTATAGATTGTCTAGTAAACCTTACTATTATTTCATTAAAACTAACTATAGATCTAGGTATAATGTATTTCCTAAACGCCTTACCTAATAGAGTTGTTAACGGCTTAATCTTCTTAAAAACCTAATATTTAACGCCTTTTAGTGGAGGTGGTAAGACGTAAAAGAAGCGCTTAAGTTACTCCTATCTTTTTTAGCCTATAAATAAGCTAATTAAGTGTTTAGGATATTTAGGATCTATAGCCCAAAGGTCTTACACTTAAGGAGTTTTAAAGACGCCTATATATATAATAAGTCCTACCTAAATCATTAACTCGCCAGCAGAGGTCTCCTTCTACGCCTATAATTGTTTACCAGCGTGTCGTCCTAATTAGTAATATCTACTAGCGTTTTAAGAAGCTGTATAGAGGTTTGTGTTAATTGCAAGCCTCTTAAATATACTAATACTAAAGAATAATAGAAATACTCGAATTAGCAGGTCCTATTTAGATCTACACTTACCAGACGCTATACTAACCTAATCTGCCATTATATAGTAAGTAGAGCGCTCAGTATCCTTATTTTAATTAAGAAGATTATTAGATTTAACGCCTGTGCTAAAGCTGTTAATAGGCTTACCAGCGCGCCAAGCGGTAAATAGTAAC